CGGGCTCCCAGCGCCGAAGTCTTGTTATAGCGATTGGGCTCGCCATCCCTTCCCGGACGGCGACCGTCGCCCCTATATGACGCACGGCTCATCATCGCCTCGTCCTCACATTTAGACCGGCCCCAGCGCTGAAGTCCTTATCTAGTGACCAGGCTCGCCAATCCCTTCTTGGATGGTGACCGTCGCCTTCATATGACACGTGGCTTATCATTGCCTCATTCTCATATTCGGACCGGCTCGTCAGCGCTGTCGTCCTCATATTCGGACCGACTCATCAGCGTCGTCATCATCATATTTAGACAGGCGTCCACCGCCTCGTCCCCCTATTCAGATATAGCGAACATCTTGCGGTCTCCGGCTGAAAGGCTAAAGGAGCCCAGAGTTCAACCATACATCGTTCTGTCATCTTTATTTGATGACAAAGAGCTCATTTGCAGGCCCATCGGCCATATATCGCTTCATCATCTTTATTTGATGACGCGAAGCTCATTTGCAGGCCCATCGGCCATATCTCGCTCTGTCATCTTTATTTGATGACGTCGAGCTCATCTACAGGCCCATCGGCCACATATCGTCCTGTCATCTTTATTTGATGATGAGGAACTCATTTGTAGGCCTCTGAGCCATATCTTGCCCCGTCATCTTTATTTGATGACGTGGAGCTCTCATATAGGCCTCGTTCGGCCATACATCACCCTGTCATCTTTATTTGATGACGTGGAGTTCTCCTACAGGCCCCTCGGCCACCCATCGCCCCGTCGTCTTTATTTGACGACGTGGAGCTCTTATGCAGGCCCCTCGGCCGCACCATCACCCCGTTGTCTTTATTTGACGACGTGGAGCTCTTCTGCAGGCCCCTCGGCCGTACCATCGCCCCGTCGTCTTTATTTGACGACGTGGAGCTCTTATGCAGGCCCCTCGGCCGCACCATCGCCCCGTCGTCTTTATTTGACGACGTGGAGCTCTTATGCAGGCCCCTCGGCCGCACCATCGCCCCGTCGTCTTTATTTGACGACGTGGAGCTCTTATGCAGGCCCCTCGGCCGCACCATCGCCCCGTCGTCTTTATTTGACGACATGGAGCTCTTATGCAGGCCCCTCGGCCGCACCATCGCCCCGTCGTCTTTATTTGACGACGTGGAGCTCTTATGCAGGCCCCTCGGCCGCACCATCGCCCCGTCGTCTTTATTTGACGACGTGGAGCTCTTATGCAGGCCTCTGAGCCATACCATTGCCCCGTCGTCTTTATTTGACAACGTGGAGCTCTTATGCAGGCCCCTCGGCTGCACCATCGCCCCGTCGTCTTTATTTGACAACGTGGAGCTCTTATGCAGGCCCCTCGGCCGCACCATCGCCCCGTCGTCTTTATTTGACGACGTGGAGCTCTTATGCAGGCCCCTCGGCCGCACCATCGCCTCGTCGTCTTTATTTGACAACGTGGAGCTCTCGTACAGGCCTCTCGGCCCATCGGCCTTACGTTCTGGTCATCTTTATTTGATGAACCAGACATCATATTGTGGACGGTCGCTCGACCCATCCCTTAGTCATCTTTATTTGATGACTAGGACTATTGATCATGATGAGCTACCCACATCTAGAGATCGGCCTCGACCATCCAGCAGACGGGCACCGCTACAGCTCCATCTCCAGGCCGAAGGGCTCACACCTTTTGTTTCATTTTGGGGGCATCCGGTGTACTCTTTTTCCCTCATTAGGATTTTTTCCCACAGGGTTTTTCCTAATGAGGTTTTTAACGAGGCATCTCCCCATCGTGGATCAAAAGGTGTCAACCCTCGGCCCCCTGTTGAAGACATCATCCGACACGCATTACTCTACTCCTCTTTACCTCATTACACTCGCCTCAAGGAGTGGGGGACTGGAAGAGCGGGGGACTTAGCGCCTCCGTTAACCAAAGAAGCAGAAATTCAAATTTTTGTTCATGAAGTTTACTCACCAGACGGCGACAGATCAACACACAGTTCTACTCTCTTTCGCCTCGAATACTCTCGACTCAGAGAGTGGGGGACTCCTGATAGAGTATATAGACTCGGACCCCCGGGTCTCACGACTATTGGGCCCGGACAGCGGCCCACACACATCTTACGGATATCATTTGTATTATTGTACTGCTTATATGTCATTTGTATGTAACTATGTACTAGATTAGTCTTTTATGTAATTGGGCTACCGGGCCCATATTAGCGGCCCGGCCCATTATTTCCCTATTTATACTCCTCTTGGAGCCATTTGTAACCCTAGAACATAATTACTCATTCACACTCCACTATTCACCCATCTTCTCCACATTATTAAGCTCAAATCTCTCCTAATTACATATACTTGGATACCTATAATCCATCATATATATATAATTATCCATCTTACAAATATGTCACTTTTATTGTTGAAACATTTTTTATCTGATTAAAAATGTCACCGATATTAAAATTTTATTTGATTCACTTAATTATTAAAATATGACTTTCATGACATTTTATCTGCCTAATAAAAATTATTTATTTTATTAAAAATTTTCAAAGTGTCACAAAGTACCCTCTGGGGCGTCGGTATGTTTTAGAAGACTATTTATATTATTGTATGTTCTGAAAAATTATATTAATTAATTATAATTATATTAATATATACTACACGAATGGTTAGATGGCTATTTGCTTATTTTTGTCGCACATCATCGACGGGGCGAGGTGGAATTTGTTTATGAATATTTTTGAGAATCTTCTTCATTAAGTCTAGTTTACCCATACCAAAATTCAGCTAAAAATTCAACCGGGAAGGCAGTCAAATGTTTTTCTGAAATATATTGCGCTGTTTAACTGTGCAGTTATCTTCAAACATTTATTTGAATGCCTTCCCGATTGCAATTTTAGCTGAAATTTGGTACAGGTAAACTGGACTAAATGAAAAAGATGCTCAAAAAAATCATTAAAAAATTCAACTAGAAACTGTCTCAAAAGGCGACAGATGGACAGAGCCTCCTATGAAATGGGTGATTTGCACTTTTTCGGTTAGTTCAAGGCCTTATTTGCCCTTTTCCCCAGTTTTAAATAATCAATAGTATATACATATTTTTAATTAGAGTTAGAATTCCAAATAGGAAATAAGACTACACGACACTAAGTATACAGAAGTATTTTACATTCTTTTTAAGATAAGAAGTATTTTACATATTAATAGACTTATGTTAGATCTCACATTTGGAATATTTCTTTACTTTTTTATACTATCGTATTTGTTTTCAGTATTTTGGCTTTTAAAGTTCATAGTATATTTTCATTCAAAAAAAGTTCATTGTATATTTCACATTATGAAATTATTGATTATTCATTTAGGTTTCAAGATATAATAATAATAATAATTATTATTATTATTATTATTATTATTATTATTATTATTATTGATTTAGGTGTTTTTTCTTCTTGACAAATCACACTTGTTTTGTTTGTTCGTTTTGAATTTGAGCTTTTTCATCCCAAATGGTTTCATTATTTTTACTTAATTATGCTATAAAAAGTGTAAAATCGTGTGTTTAGGACTCATTATTGTTCGGTGATTTTGTATAAGTTAAACTAAGTGGTTATAAAATTACTCAACCCTTGTCATGGGACCTGATTTGGCACTTCCACTACAAAAAAATTCGCCTGTAGTCACGGACTTAGTCACGGACCGTAGTGTAAAAAGTCCGTGACTAACACTTTTAGTCACGGACTTCGTCCGTGACTAGTTCAGTGACTAATTCCGCGTGACTAGAACTTAGTCACGGGCTAGGTCCGTCACTACCTATAGTCACGGATTAGTCACGGCAGTCGATCCGTGACTACATCTTGACCGGAATTAGCCCTCCGGCACGTTAGTCACGGACCGGATCCGTGACTACTTCTAATTTAATTTTTTTTATGTTAGTCAAGGACACGAGCCGTGACTAAGTTTAATTTAATTTTTTTTATTTTTTGTGGTAGTCACAGACGTATCCGTGACTATGTTAAATTTAAAAAAAATTGAATTTATTCCGGATAAAATTTAGTCACGGATCTGGTCCGTTACTAATGTTTTTTTTTTTAAAAATCGATTTTAAATAAAAAAATGAAAATTGAATTTATTCCGGATTAAAAAGTAGTCACGGATTTAGTCCGTGACTAATATTTTTGATTTAAAAAAAAACAATTTTAAATAAAAAATAAAAAATTATTTTAATTTTATTTTAAAGCAATTAGAATAAAAATAAATTCCATACAATCTTAAACATAAAAAATGTTATTACAGACAGAATTATAAAAACAAAATCCATACAATGTCAAACAATATTATGTAATTACATGCCCGTACGTCGGACTCCATTATGATAAAAAGTAGAATCATCATAATCATATGCATCATCATTATCATCATAGTCACGATGATGATCCTCTTCTGCATCCACGGTGTCCAAGGGTCGGGAACTTCCTCGGCTGCCTCGGTTGCCTCCTCGATTGCCTCCTCGGTTGCTTCCTCGGTTGCCTCCACCGGATGACTGAAACTGATTGAGCATATCAGACGACAGAGATCCGAATGTCGACCCTATTGCAGGCATGACACCATAACCGGAGTTAGAGTGGTAACCCATACTACCCATGTGCGGAACCTGAGGAGTCTGCTCAACGTGCATCACGTACGGCCGAGGCATAGGCTGAGGCGGAGGCTGATATCCTGCAAGGATCCGTTCCATTGCTTCCAGTCGGGCCCTTGTTTCTTCATCATTCTTCCGTTGTTGTTCAAATGCCCGCTGCTGCTCCTCCAATTCTCGCTGCAATTGGGCAATGCGTGGATCCTCTCCTCGCCTAGATCGAGAAGATGATGAAGCTCCGCTGCCGCTGCGATCGTACAGAATACGTTGCCCCTCAGCCCCGAGGCATGGAAGCCGACCCTTGTACACCCCTGCTGCCTCAAGGATGGCATCATCTTCCACATCAGAATCGATGTCATCTTCTTGAGTCAAGCCTAGTTCCGTCCGCTTCTTTTCAACATTTGCGTTATACTTTGTCTACAAACATTTAAAAAAAATATTCAAATGATATTTACTTCAATTTGAAATAATAGTATCGATGTTACATACTTCGATTTCAGCAAGGCGGGGTGGTAGATTGGCTGGCTACTCAACACCGTTCTTCATCCAACAGTGTTTGATTACACTGAGGATAGGGACCCTCTTCTTTTGAGGCCCCGCCTACAAGGTTAGAAAAAGGTTTAAATAAATGTAAAAAAATAAAAGGTTAAAATGGTGTAGGTTTATTTGAATAAGACTTACAAGAGCTTCTTTATGTTTACTCTGGGGTTTGTGGCCTTCGTGCCATTGTGTCGTCAATGCCTTCTCGGACATCCGATTTTTCTTCCCGGCTTCGCTTCTAGCCAAGAAAGTCGGATCCGAAGACCAGTGGCGGACGAGGTTTTCCCATACCTCATCCGAACACCATTGAGGCCTTACCCCACTGGCTCGGGCACGCTTAAAAGTGGGACGAAGCCAGTTTGAAACTCTGGCATTGTACGCCCTTAGAATAGCGGGGCCTTGTTCTTCAGTCCAGCGAAACCGGGCCTTTATTCAAAAAATAAATTAACTTATCATTTGTCAAATTTTAGGTTACATCAATGACGAAAAATTGATTTTTTACCTTGAACAAGTTCCACCAAAGTTCACGGACCTTAGGGTCAACATCCGTGTACGTAGCCCAGTTGCCAAGAAAGTGTCCACCAATTATGAGTTTGATTTGGTTGAGCACATCTTGATCGCTTCAAAAAATTAATATTTTTTTATAGTTAGATTATTTGACATTAGATAAAATTATTTGACATTAGATAAAGTTCATAGTTACTTACTTAGCAACCATGTGAGGTGTCACACATTCCGAATCTTCATTGTTGCGCTCGGCTTGGGTTAAGGGCGCATAGTTCGGGCGAGCACGAGATGTGGATTGTTCATTGCTCATCTAAAATAATTGATTAATGAGGAGTATTAATTTACATTTTCAAATAATTGTGTAAATATAATAGAAGATCAAATTTTGATTGAAATCTTAAATAGGTTTTCATATTTAAATTTATAATTTTTTTTAAATAAAGGCAGTTTTTATTAAGCAGTTTTTATAAAACAGTTTTTTATAAAACAGTTTTTTATAAAACAGTTTTTTATAAAACAGTTTTTTATAAAACAGTTTTTTATAAAACAGTTTTTTATAAAACAGTTTTTTATAAAACAGTTTTTTATAAACAGTTTTTTATAACATGTTAAACTTTTTTGGAAGTTTGACATGAAGGGGTATTTTGTTTAATTACTTCGGGAAACTTTTTAATTAAAACAGTTTATTTATTTGATGGAGTATATGGCCCGGGAACCCCCGGCCCACAGACTCCTACTACTCCAGCAAAGGCCCAACAGGCCCAGAAGGCCCAACAGACCCAATTCACAGCGCCCGGAGTACCAAGCAGTCTGCACAACGCGCAGGGGTGCCTTCGGCCCCCTGGCCGAAGGCTCCAAATTCTCACAGAACGGGTTTCTCAAGCAAACTAAGAAACTGGGAGAAAACGGCTAAAACAGCAGCCCTCGGCACTGTGAGCCCTCGGCACCAGGGGTGCCATCGGGAGGAAGAGCCCTCGGCTACTGCTCTATAGCCGAAGGCATCTCACCCGACAAGATATCCGCCTCACATACGTACAGATCACCGTACTCTGCACAGACGTCCCATCCAACAGCCGCATTAAATGCGGCCACATGCGGCTGCCAGCGCCAACCAGTTGAGGTGACCCCTCGGCCAATGAGCGCTTGACACGTGTCCCTGCCCGACATTTATTGCTGCTATAAATAGCACCCCATTTCCTCATTTGTAACCACGCTGAAAACGCTCCACATTTATAATACACTCTCTCTCTATATTTACTTGCTCTGACTTCTCTCTAGATTACTCCCCGTAATAACCCCTCGGATATATACCCCCGGGTAGACTATCCATCATTTGGTGCTCTCGTTGAGAGGTTGAACAATCGAGTAAGAAACCCTCCCCCTCGACCAAACACAAAACACTAGCCCTCTATCAAAATGGTGAGGACAACACGTGCCAATTCAAAGAATGTAGAAGACAAGAACCTGGCCCTCGGCGACGTCAACGCCCCCGAAGCCTCTCACAGGGCTCCCGAGGGCGGTGTCATCGCTGGGCTGGAACAGGCGGCTGTCGACCTACGCCTTCAGATCCAACAAAATGCCCCCGATGCCCGCCTCGGCATCGAGGCCAAGAAGAAAAACCGGAGCGATGACCAAGTCAGCCCTCCGGTTCTCACCATCGACGTACAATCGGCGCTCTCCGCCTTCATCCAAACGCTCACTCAGAACCCGGGTGCCTTCGGCACCCTGGCTCCAGCTCACCCCCAGATCGGGGAAAATATCATACTTCCCCCTCTGCCACACCCCTTCGGAAATCCCACCCCTCGGGTGAGAAACGATGAAGGGGTGGTGGCCCAAGAAACGTCCTCCCAGGAAGTTCAGTCCCGGGACCGCCATAATGACAACAGGGAAAGGCCCCGAACTTCCGCCCTCAACCGGCTCGGAGGAGGGCCAGACCGCTGAGGGGTCCAAGACCGCCTCGGGGGGAAAGCACTCCAAAGGCCCCAGGAAAGCGGGGGATCTGTTTCGAGGGCAGACGAGGAGCGTCCCCCTCGGGACAAAGGCAAGGCACACCTTCATGCCGATGATGCCCGGCACCAAATCAACCAGGCCCACTCGGCCCGGGTTCGTTCGCAGGGGGCGGAGACCCTCCCGAGGGACCCCCGGGACGAGATTATTGCGGCCCTCCAACGCCGACTTGACGAGATGGAGTCCAACAAAGCTCACGCCACCACCTCCACCCCTCACTCAGACCTCAAATACGAGGCCATGATGGCCAAAATGGAGGAACTACAGAAGAAGGTGGCCGAGGGCTCCGAGGAACCCGTCATTCAGCTCCGGACTCGGACGCCATTTACCCCAAGGGTATTGGCGGCCCGGATCCCGGAAAAATACCGAGGGCAACCCATACAGCCCTACAGTGGGAAAACGGACCCCCAGGAACATTACAGCAAATACCAAAACAGCATGATGATGGTGGGGGCGTCAGACGAATATTTGTGTCGTTGGTTCCTCTCCACCTTAGAAGGACCAGCATACGAATGGTTCAACAGGCTGCCCGAGGGATGCATTGATTCGTGGCAAGAACTCGCCCAGCGATTCTTGACACAATTTGCCGGGAGGCGTCGTACAAGGAAGCACTTCTCCCACCTCCTAACAATACGCCAGAAGAAGGATGAGACCCTTCGGGATTTCCTAGAGCGCTGGAGGACAGAGGCCGACAAGGTCGACGGCGCTGATGACGGGACCCTCCTGGCCCTCCTACAAACCGTCCTCCGCACCGGCAACTTTTCCAGGAGCCTCATTATTGAACCCCCCCGCGACTACATAAGGGCCTTGCAGCGGGGGGACCGGTATGCTGAGGCCGAGGAGGTGGAGAAGTATCACCAACACCCGGACCAGCAGCCCCCGAGGGTTGATAACAAGCATAACCGAGGGCCGGGGGCTCCTCCAAATCGCCCCAAGACTTCGGGACCCTCCGATGACCGCCCTCGGCAAGGCCAAGCCAAGCCCGGGGGAGGTTATAAGAGCAACCCTAAGACTTGGGCCCAGCCCATTCTCCTGGACCGCCCTCGGACACCATTGACGCATCCCGTCAGCATCATCCTCGATTTTGCCGAGGAGAGGGGCCTCGTTGAGCGCGACTCTCGCGCACCCCCGGAGGTACACGCTATCAACCCTCAGTTCCCCTACTGTCGCTTCCATCGGCACCAGGGGCACAGGACCGATGACTGCCATCAGCTGAAGACGGCCATCGAGAGATTAATACAAGCAGGGCACCTGTCCCAATTTGTCCAGAGCCCTCGGCAGGAGGGACCTTCTCATCAGGGGCCTCCCCGAGGGCATCACACAAAGGTGAACGCCTGGGTGAATCCAAACACCATCCCCCTCGGCAAGAAGAGGGAGATCAGAAACTTGGAAGAAGAGGAGGAGGAATACACCCACTACCAGGAGAAGAAACGCCACATCCTCATGATCACCGGTGGCAACACAGGGGGTGATTCCACCAGCCAGCGAAAGAAGTGGGCTCAATCGCTTTATGTAGGGGAAGTCACTCATATGCCCCCGGTAAAGCGATTGAGGGAGGAACCCATCACCTTCACCGACGCAGATCTCCCTCCTACTGCTTCTCCTCACAGGGATGCCTTGGTGATTCGGACAGAGATAAACGACACCATCATCCACCGAACTTACGTTGATACGGGCAGCTCCGTCAACGTAATGTACCTCAGCACCTTCAGAGAGTTGCATCTGGAGAGGGGGTCCCTTCGGCCCATTAAGACCCCTCTTGCCGGCTTCACCGGCGACACTATTGATTCCGAGGGGGTAATAACCCTCCCGGTGATCTTCGGCGACGGGCTCCATAGAGTCCAGCTCGAAGTGGAGTTCGTCGTCGTCAACATTGACTGCGCCCACAACATCATCCTCGGCCGGCCAGCCCTCGAGGACCTCGAAGCCATCATCTCCATGAGGCATCTCTGCCTCAAGTTTCCCGCCGAGGGGGGAATTGGCTACTCCCGGGGGAACCAAAAAATTTCCCGCGCCTGCTATCTTCAGGTCACTAAGAAGGTAAGCAAGACGGAACTCCGTGTTGACACCATCACCGGAGCTGTCGACCAGGAGGAAAGAAGGCCGAGGGCTGAACCAGCCGAGGACGTAGAAGACTTTGCGCTCGATCCGGCCCAGCCGGAGAGAGTCGTGAAGATTGGAGCCCAGCTCCCTGAAGATTTGAAGACCGGTATCACCGACGCCCTCCGCGCCTACTCCACTGTCTTTGCATGGGGGCCGGAGGACATGCCGGGAATCAGCCGAAGGGTCATCACCCACCGCCTCTCGGTGGACCCTTCGGCAAAAGCAGTACAACAGCGAAGGAGACCCCTCTCCGCCGAGAGGAGGGAATTCGTGAAGAAGGAGGTCGCCATGCTCCTCTCAATTAAACACATCAAGGAGGTGAAATACCCCTCATGGCTAGCAAATGTAGTCCTCGCACAGAAGCCCCCTACCTTCCGCATGTGCGTGGACTACACCGATCTCAACAAAGCATGCCCTATGGATCCATTCCCTCTACCAAACATTGATCAATTGGTGGATGAGACCGCATGGTGTGAGATCATGTCCTTCCTCGATGCCTTCCGGGGGTACCATCAAATATTCATGCACGAGGAGGACGCCGAAAAAACTGCCTTCATGACTCCCGAGGGCATCTTCTGCTACCTAGTGATGGCCTTCGGCCTAAAGAACTCAGGGGCCACTTACACCCGGATGGTGGCCCGGGTCTTTCAAGCCGTCCTAGGGCGCACCATGGAGGCATATGTCGACGACATGATCGTCAAGAGCAAGCAATCTTCCAGCCATGCTGACGACCTCCGGGAAATCTTCGCCATCATGCAAAAATTCAACCTTCGGCTAAATCCGAAAAAGTGCACCTTTGGCGTCCAAGGAGGCAAATTCTTGGGCTACATGGTGAGCCGAAGGGGTATTGAGGCCAATCCCGAGAAGATCCAGGCCATCATCGACATGGAACCCCCATGCAATGTGAAGGAAGTTCAACGGTTGACGGGCCGCCTGGCAGCCCTCAACCGTTTTCTATCTAAATC